AAGAACGCATCTTAAAAAAACACTCTGATATATCGCATAACATTTACGTTGCATCGAAATTCCTTCCATAATCGTGTCCTTTATTGCATTCCACTGTACTGCTACTGTAACTCGCTACAGCTGGAGAAAGGCTCCAAATCTTTACTAAGAATTGCAAATAATATAACTTAAGTCTAAAACGGTTTTCAGCCGGGGAAAGTTTCCAAGTCTTCACTAAAAATTACACATAATCATATAACTAAAAGTCCACAACGTTTTATGCTCACTCGAGCTCTTGATCAATGACTGATCTTGAGCCCAAAAATTCTCACCCTAACAAGCTTTTTTAAAAAAATATTAAGCAGTTTTTTCAATAAACTTTAAAACAGCAATCTAGTGCTGATTGTTTCTTTTAACCAAACACGACAGATTGTGTGCATTACTCAGATCTTTGTTTCGTCAACATTCTCTACACGAATGTGATCTACATTGATCACTTGAGCTGATTGTTCCCTCAGAAATTCAGCGGCTTTTGCCTCCAAACATGCGCGATAACCTTCTCTATGATAAGCAGCAAACATTACTGACGTGTAGAATTGATTCGAAGTAGAATGCTGCGGAAATGCTCCACAAATCCCCTCTGAAAAACCCCTACAAGCGTCACCATGACAAGACTCGCAGCAACAGAACGTCAGCCTGTCGACCTCCTTGGCATGAAGCTCTGGTCCAGTTCCCCGATGCCCCTCATCAAGATTCTCCTTCCAAGCCTCCTTCCACGTCATAGGTTGCGTCATCTTAATTATTATTAGGGTGTCTAGGAGCAATGAAAAGCACCTCTGCCTCACCGACCATGTGGTCGCCGTCTCCTTCTGGATCTCTGTCAAAGTATTGGACTTTGAACCTTGGGATAATAAAATCTTTCCTTTAAATATCAATAGACTGTCTGACTTTTAAGACGAGCAAGCTTCTTTCCAGATTTAACTGTAGGTTTTACGAATTGCCTAGAGTGTTTCTTTAATCGTGCAAACTTAAGAGTGCGTTTCGATTGCGGGATGTTGGACAAAACTTAACAAAGGTGCGGAGGAACAATTTGAAAAAGTGTCAGGTGGGGGGGACTTATCATAAACTAAACCAAACGCATATCTTAGGAGCCAATTGGAACTCAAACGTACAAACTGTTTGAAGCGCGGAAAGAGGCAAGGGACCTAGTAGGTCGCCATTGTTTTTAGTTTTGCATCTGAATGGCCGGAGGAATGGCGTGCACATTCCTCGCCAAGAGCAGAGGGGTAGTAAAACACCAGTCCCAGTCACTGTTAAGTCTCAATGAAAAAAACCGCTTGACTACATTTTGCGGATTGGTCCAAAAACTTTGTTCAGCTAATACTAAGTATTTCCAACTAAATTGAAATAGACGTTTGTGCGCAGCACCTTAAATGAAAGCGGTTAAACAACACTTCATATTAGTGGGTTTTCGTGCAACATACAAGTTAGCTGAACCTTAAAAACTAAGTCACAAACCTGTAACTCCTAGGTTGGTTTCCGGGACTTCTCTCCACAAAGTTTATTCGAATGTCTTCATTGATGTCTCGACCATCCATTCCTGTAAATGAACATCTCAGTTTTTTCCTGGCCATTTCGAGCGCGTTCATCAAGGTGTTACAAAACGCTTGTTCTGAAGCCGCACATCCACAGAGATGATCCTTTTCAGTCTGAGTCTCAGAAGAGGCAAGATTCCAAGGTTTTCAACATGACCACCATCATTTAGACGCAACACAGGAGGGGGACTGGGCCCAAGGTTTAGTATCCCGAGTGTTTACCGAACATAACTGATGTAAGGTATGTGGACAGCAAAACATCTGACGGAAAAAAAACAGCACTGATCACAAAACGACTTTCCTCTCCATAAAAAATTTTGAAAATTTTCATCGAAACTTTTCTAGAAATCAGATGCGACAAATCTTTCACCTGTGGTGTGTATGGCTTTTAGTGTAAAAGGCTAGCCAGTATTAGCTGTTCAACTTATTGGTTAGGGTCAAAGCGCACTAAAAGTAAGTGTATACGTGCATGCCTTTCGGTCATCACTGCGCCAGCAGTGTTCGTTCCCTCCTTTTGAACCTTGGGATAATAAAATCTTTCCTTTTTTTCTCCGTTCCGCTCTTCGCATTCTGGGACTGTTTTACTATGCAGGTTTTGACGTAATTCTGATCATCACGAAGCCAAATCGTGAGATTTTCAAGATGTTAATAACTCTGATAGTCGCATTTTATGCCTGCTCCTTGCCGATAATCTATATAGTTTTCAACAGGAGTTTTCGCAGTTGTGTTAAGGAAGTTTTGTCGAAGCGCTATTGTTGTCGACTTGTGTCTGCTTGACTTAAATTACAAAGTGGAGACCAGTTTAAATGTAAAATTGGTTTCAGCGGACTGTCAAATTTCTTTAGTTAGTGAGAATACACTAAGTCTAAGTTGGGTTATTAACTACTTTCAGATTCTGCCAACGCGACTGGCTTCCTGTCCGTGAAGTTTAAAATATTTTAATAGCGTTTCTAATCAGTCCAATTCCTTGCTGCTATCAATTTTATGCGTTCATTATTTTGCAAAAATGGATGATG